TTAGTTATTTGAGTATGCGAACTACTGAACCAGATTCTAGATATCACTCATACGAATTGGAAACTTTAGCCGTGGTCAAAGCAATAAAACATTTTCGTCATTTTCTTTATGGCAGACAGTTCACTGTTATTACAGACTGCAACGCTCTTAAAGCTAGCCGTACAAAAAAAGACCTTACCCCTCGAGTTCACAGATGGTGGGCCTATCTTCAAAATTTTGAATTTGACGTAAAGTATCGCAAGGGTGAACAAATGACTCATGTTGACTATCTAAGTAGAAATCCCACTATAAATATCATAACGAAAGACCCTTCCTGGATTATAGTCGAACAAGAACGCGACAGCGAACTTAAAAAAATTCGAGACGCAATTATTAATAAAGAAGATCACGATCAAAAATACAGCATGAGAGAAAATCTCTTAATGATATCCATTCAAAATCAAAAAGGCAAAACAGTGACACGCACTGTTGTCCCCAGTTCTCTAGTCTCTAACTTAATTAATCGATACCATGAAACGCTCATGCATGCCGGCTGGGAGAGAACACTTGACAAAATTAGAGAGCAATTTTGGTTTCCTAATATGTCAAAACGAGTTCGATCTTTTTGCGATCATTGTCTTAATTGTAAAATCGGTAAAGGAATCTCTGGAAAACAACAAATTAATCTCCATCCAATCGACAAAATTTCCACCCCATTTCACACAATTCACATTGATTTAATGGGTAATTTAACTGGATGTGACAAGAAAGCTTACGCATTAGTAGCAATAGATGCGTTCACTAAATTTGTAATTATATATCCCTTAAGTGACAAAAGCACGAATCTTATTTTAAAAAGCTTGCGAGAAATTGTTAACTTATTTGGCACACCAAATAGAATTATTTCTGATAGAGAACCAGCTATTATGTCTAAAGATGTGCAAACTTTTTTTCGATCTGGCAATATTGAACATCACGCTATAGCACGTGGCGTCCCTAGGGCAAATGGTCAAGTTGAAAGACTAATGCGCACCATTCGTGACCACTTAGGCGTAGTCTCTCAAAATCAGAACAAAACTTGGCTTCATAAATTAGGGGAATTACAGGGTTCCATATTGGCTCACATAAAATTCTAAATCCTATTCTTTGTCTTACTACCGATTTGTGTTCATAATAATCTCTCTTCATAATTTTATTTTTCATAATTTTTTTATTCATACATTTTTATTACTACTATCGGNAGAATTACAGCTTTGTATTAATACCACTAAATCCAAAGCAACAGGACACTCACCTCTTGAACTCCTTATTGGTAAAACATGTTCACCCCCTGCAATCCAACAACTTATCATCACTGAAGATGATATTGATAGAGATTACATTCGATCTGAAGCTAGTAGCAGAATGACCGAACAAGCTAATAAAAGTAAAGTCCGTTTTGATTCTAAATGTGCCCCTGTCCACCCCTTTAAAGTCGATGATTTTGTTTTATGCAAAGACACCCAATGGTCGAGCAACAAACTAGGTCCAAAATTTTTAGGTCCCTACAAAATTGTCAGAGTTTTAGACAATGACAGATATGAAGTTAAAAGCCTTAAACATGGCAGTCGAAAAATTTCAGTTGTTCCTCATGAACACATTAGACTCATCCCAGTACCCCATGCTTTTGAAGCTTTATCAGATGATGACCATGATAGCAATTAAAAATAAGTTTGTGCCAATAAAAGAGCATCAATCAGTGCCAATAAAAGAGCACAAGTTAGTGCCAACCAAAAGAGCACACGTTGGTGCCAACCAAAAGAGCAAAAGCTAGTGCCAATCAAAAGAACACTCATTATAATTAGTGTCAAACAAAAGAGCACACAGAACCAATTATGGTATTTCTTTACAGATGATTTTGAATAAACGCCCAGAGCACGGGCGTTTTCTCAGAATGGCCGTGATAGCGCTACTATTAAATTGTTCCAGAAGATGACATCATAATTAATTTACTCCAAGTCGTTGTGTTCATGTTGATTCTCAATTTATTTAATTACACTTTTAACATGCTACAAGTGCATTTTATGTTTTTTTTTAAAGCTTCCTAATGTGTGTTTAATTATTGATTAATTTAATCACAGTTTAGAATTAAATATTATTAAAATTATTTCTTTACTCGAATCGCTATTTTAATAACGCAAGGGAAACGGAAGTAAGTACAAGGTGCACTATTCAATAATTATAAAATTACAAATCAATTATTTTATTGTTTTAAATATACTCAGTGATATTATTAAATAATTTCATTGTATAATGTGTTACTTTAGTATTTTTATTCGTAAGTATTTTGATTTTATTTCAAAGTGATTTTATAATGTTTTAAAAAGTTGCAAATGTATTAATTAAATATAAAAAGTAGATTTAATATTAAGTTAAAGTATTTTAATAATGTTTTTAAATAATTATTCATTTGTATGCAGTGTGATTGTTATCAATTTATTTATTTTTAAAAATAGTGCTTTGGCTCGGATGTTACGTCACTTGATTGCGTCAGTCGGAGTAGTAGTGGGTGGCGCAGATCGGTGTGACGGGGCATTCAGTGTTAAACCACCGTTGAGTGAACAACTCAAATAAAGTGGTGTTATATTACGTCTGAGTTTTAATCATCACCAATTTACAATGGATCCTTCAACATGTATGTATTTAACTATTTGATTTTTTTCTAAAATCAAAGTTTTAGCAAGATCAAGTTACGTATTTAATGTATTTTTTATACAAGTGTAATGATTTTAGAATAATATTCGTTCCGGGGGTGAGGCCTGGTGACCCGTAGCACAGGTTTCTCTTTTGAAACCTATTTCAGGCACCAGTCCCTCGCACTTTAGGTTAGAAATCCTTGGCTTAGTTTCTATTGTATTGTGTACCTAAATTGTGAAGGGTAATAAATATTTTTTGATTTTGATTTTTTGATTTTGAATATTGTATTTTATACGATTATTAGTTGCTTATAAATAGTTATTGTAATAATTTTGGTAGAATTTAAAAACCCATTATTAAAATTAAATACTTTACTTGATTACTTCCTGGACATTGTTGCAGATATTAGAATGGTTTTAGAATTTATTCTGTATTATATTCAATTACATATTTCATGTTTATTATTTAATGTAATTATTTTAGAATTTTATTGTATACAGTTTAGTAATTTAGAAATAAATTGTTATTTAAGTATTGATTTTGACTAGGGGANTGCAAAAATGCTGTAGACAGTTGTAATCAAATTCAGAACATGAATATTCAACTGCAATGTCTGCTCATGAACGCTTCAAACTCGGTACTTCTTTCCCAATTCCATAAAATTCAACACGAAAGTGACAAAAAAATTTAAAATGTGTAGTTGAAACAAACCACAGCTAATTTTCATAGTGGACTGTACTATACGATAAACATGTCAGTCAATTTGACAACCTTTGTCGGAAACATTATTCAATGAAAATATTGTCCGAACCCTTAGTATTTCTCTTCGACCAATACTTTAATACATTGTGAACCACTTTTCTTTCACGACTATAAAAAGATTTTAGCAATTTAATTCACAAAATCAATTGCGCACATTTAAAATAAAGTTTGTTTACACTTTGACAGCAATAGACTGACATGCAAGATGACATGTCTATGAAGTTTTCAGTTACTGTTGCCATTAAAAGAAATTAGTACCATTAGTTTTCCGCAACATGGCGAGGGTTTTTATGTTCCTGGTCGGGCTATATTGAATTAATGGTTCATAATTAAAAATTTAAGACAACGGGACTTCAAATATTCTGGGAGACGTCAGGACAACAGAACTGCTTCGGTTGAACTTTGCCATTCGTTTTTCAGTTTTGTTTGAATCAGAGTTGCATGTGACCAAACAATTGAAGGTAGATAAAGAAAGATAATTTTAACGCTTACCGTTGTCGCTCACAGCTGCAGCCAGCCGTAGCCGTGTCTGGCCTGGGCGGGCAGGACCTCGGCGGCGTCGCGCACCGCATCATCCTGCAGCCGCCTGGAACTCATGTGCAGCCACACCCTCACTCTGCCGTCTACACCATCCACCATTAACTTTACACCAGTGATACTGGGTGATACAGAAGTGATACATGATGATACGGAGTGATACACGATGATACGGAGTGATACACGATGATACGGAGTGATACATGATGATACGAAGTGCTACATGATACATTAAAGGATACAGAGTGATACATCATTTATAAAGCTATAAACAAGTGATATTAACGATACGAGACTACATTTCACTTATCATAACTTCAATCATCACGGACATGCTACTGTTAACGGCTACATAATGTTGCCACTGTAACCACACTATTTGCGAACAAGAGATATAAAAGCACTTACCGTTATTTTTCATTCTCAATGACACCAAAACACTTCACAAACAAGTGGCAGCAATTACCACTAATATCATCAAAAATGACACAAAAAAAGTAGTACCACTATGATACATCATATTTCCACGCGCAGGCCGCTTATGTACGTATCGTACATGTTTATAATGTAGTTTTATAACTCTTATGTTTTTTAGTTTTTGTTTTTCATTTCATAGTCTTCTAGTTTTTAATTGAAGATGTTTACATATTGTTATAGTTACATAAATATAGTAAGACTTGATTTAAACTTTTTCATTAAAATTTTGTATTTTTAAGTATTTACAGCCATTTTTTACACAACTCATTTGTACATTTCTTATGATCACATAGTGTCTTATTAATCTTATTATTGTAAACATTATTATAAGATTACACGAAGCAATAATCATAATAAAACTGCACAATATTGTAAACAGTACATTAGATTTTAATGTTTCTTTGTTATTTTATTGTATACTTTTACAAAAGCAATAAATGTAAAGTATATTAAAATAATTTGCGCATTTTATTTACACCTTTATTATTATTTATAAAAAAAAAATCTGTCGTCGATGATATTTAATATTAACCAAGTTGTGAGAAATGAAATAAAACTGCAGTCATACTAAAATAATCGTTATATTTTTACACATTAATGAATACCTAAATCAAACATTCGCATCTTAAACATAAATTCATTATTCATTAAAGACATAAAGACAATACACAGTGATCAATTTGTTTATTTGACTATTTCAAGTACGAGACGCATACACCAACTGTATTTAAAAGCACACATAAAGGATTTCCCGAATAATATTGCAATACCATACTGTCATCTTTAATACTCTGATACAAACCCAGTATTTAGCTGAGTAGACCTTACGAACCACAACGATTGCACCTAACCAGGCGTGCCTTTCGTATAGGTTTTTTTTTTGTGACAGGTGGCAAACGAGCAGACTTATCACCTGATGTACTTAGTACAGAATAAGTAAAGCAACAGCAACAGCACACCGCTAACTGCGCACCTCGCTGGAATGCGACTCTCCCTCCCACCTCCCTGCGTTCGCCCCGTCCATATCAGAGCGTCGATGTGACGTCACAGCCGCCACGTAAGCAGTTAACTCGACCGGGCTGTACATTTAAGTCGCCAAGTCGCATCTATTACAACTCAATAAGATGCGACACTGTTTGACGTACCATATGCAAAATTGACGCACATTCATAGCACAAACATAGGGGTAAAAATCTAGTCTAGTAAAATTATCGATATCTGACTTCGTTATTTGAAAAATCATGTTCTTTCTGACGAAGCGCGGTACATTGACTAGATGGAAAAGCACCCATTACAAACCAGCTAGCGATATGTGCGGTTACATTTTGACTTATCAAACATTTCTTTGTTGCTATTTTTTTAAGAATATTTTTTTTTCTGGTTTGTCATGCCGTGGACTAAACATTGTCTAATAAATTAACCATATCATACGCGGTTAGTTTTGGCACAAGGATATTTACAATTTGCAATCATTGATCACTGCGAAACGAACTAAATAAAACCTCGCGTGCCGGACACGAGAGCCTAGCGATAAATTAAATTAAGTGTACTTGTATAAAAACTTAATATAAGATAAAACATTTCAGGCTCATTTACACTCTTACGCCGACTTTAATTTCGAATTAATATACCTGGTAGTACATTTTTGAAGAGCTTTACTAAGGGTGTAAATGAGCCTTAACGTGAGAGACTCGAAAAATATCGAAACGATAAGTTACGCAAAAAATAAGATAAGAAAGGTTAAACATATTCAGTCAATCTGAATGAATCAAGTCTTAGGCCTACTATAATTACTTATTTGTTCAATTCAATCAATGGAAATAATTCATGAACATTGTAGTTCGAAAACCAATCAAACAATACATAAAGGTAAAGTTACACATGCTCATAAAATGTCATGCTTTATAACATTCTTGAAACAAGCGTGCTCCAAATGAGCATGCTATTTAGTAACAATTGCTCAACAGTGGCATGCTTCGTGCTAGTAATGACGTAATGAGCATGTGTAACTGTGCCTTTAGATTCCCAAATATCCATACAACAATAAGATGCGTTATCTTTTGTACAAAAGAGTTACCAAACTATAAATTACCACCCCAAAGTATTTACAATACAATCGTTCCTAAGGCCACGAGTTACGATACGATCATCATACGACATACGAATCATTCGATAATACAATCATATTCCCTGAAAAGCTTATATGATGTTATGTAATACAATAATTAAATATGATTTTATTTTTATCCAGACGGCAGGGGGAAAATACTATATTTTGATTCTGTCACATAGGTATATTAATTTTATTTTCCTGTAATTCAGCACCCAAGATAATACAACTTTCATATTAACTTATCATTCATATCTGTCATCATGTGTAACAACAGTATTTTATTTAGAAGATTCGAGAAAGTAAATACATAAATATAAAAAAAATGATCTAATTTTGGTAATGAAGTAGAAGGCCTTTTACACATCGCGACTTATTGCAGTGTTTTTAATAAAATAAAATATTTGAAATTATTCGAACCCATTGGCATAAGGTTATTTTTAGGGAGGGCCTGACCCCTGACATGCCAAGTGGTATAACTAGCATGTTCGAACCATTTGTTCCGAGTTCAGAGTGTTCAACCAAATAAACAACTCTTCAGTTTTACAATAGGCAGTAAGTATAGATAGAATCATAGTTATTTAATTTTTAGCGTTAAGAGTCGCATCTCAAACTAATTTGAAAATTATAAATAAATAGATAGAATCGTTGGTAGATCCAGGCATAGTGCTCATTAGTATTGCAGTGTTTGTCATGTGTAACAGAGAACTTTGTATGCATCAGGTCGATAGAAAACAAACGCTAATATTTTATTTCCACGTGTATGTTTATAACGCTGCAAAAGTCGTAGTGTGTCACGGGCCATAGAATCGCATGGCCCAATAGAAAATGTCAACACAGACAAATCAAAATTATACTATAAATAAAATTTTAACATAGTCCCTAGGTCGTAAGCATAATCCACTTGAATTAGAAAGTTATAATAATGAGACAAGAAATTTATATTGTCAATTACAATGACGAACAGATCGTGTGAAGTGAAGCAATAGCAGGCGTACTGACCTCTCTTAACATAAAAGACATTTAGCACAAAATATACTATTTTACATCTACATATTGCTTAGTTATTAAGGCATAAAATTCAGATGTCTATCAATTTTCTCTCACACACATGACCATAGCCATTAACATGGTACTTTATGAGTTCTGAGCATTCATCTGATAAATAGAATTAACAGAACTCACACCCATCCCAATAACTATGGAATTATCAGCATAAAGCTTATTCAAGTGGACAATCCTAAAGAATCCATCAATGGGCTCGATTCTTAAGTCAGTGCATGCATTAAGGCCAATACAAATACTGGTAGAATGCATGTTGTTACACACATTATGCTTTAAAGTATGTAGCGTAGTTGTTTTCATAGACAGATCCTCATGTGGCTTATTGAAAGAAAAAGGCAAGAATAAGAGATAATAAAGGATACTTTTCAGTAGTCTCAGAATCAAGCCCATTGCGGCTGACGTCAACACATTGAAAGAAACGTTGACCGTTACGGACTAAATATCAAGATATCAAGAGTCTGAGGTCACAACATTGCTGTGACAACGTCGACCTTAAGAACATAACATCAAGGTCCAATCTGGATGTCTAATATCACCTAAAATATAACTAAAGTTACCTCTACACGCACTGCGCGTTGTCTGTATCGTTCTCGTGTCCCGTGTAGCGTATGTAGGCCGAGTGTAGCGTGAGGCCGGGCGGTAGCTTGACGTCACGGAAGTAGCGGTGGCGGCGCGCGTCTTTGGCGGAGATGCGCTTCACCGGGTCATAGACAAGCATCTTTTGGAGCAAGTCCATGCCCACTTCGTCTAGGTTTTGGACCTGGAACAGTAAATTGATATCGATTAATTAAGAAAACAAACAGCAATATCAATACACAGACTGGCCAATTTAAATTTGTCAAAAGAGGATTCACAAATAGTTCTTACGTAAGTATCATTATGTTAAGATTTACGCCCATATTCACAAACAATGCTTGCTTAAGTGAAGCAGCAAATCGAACGCACAGCGATGAATAGAGCTCTGTGATTGGTTCGTGTGTCACCCTGTGCCTGTGCGTCCACGCGCACTGTGAGACCTCGTAGTAATGTTTGTGAATACGGGCGTTAGATGTGAACCTACAGATGAGGAGCGAAATAGACTGTATCTTTACTTCATTACTACAATAACAAACACAACTGCATTCTTTCTCTTACTCTAGCTAGTTCGAGTGACAAGGATAGACAGCACTAAGAGACAAACTTACGTGGTTGTGCAAATTAAAGGTGTTCCAATTGGGGAAGGTAGGCTTGTAGTCAGGTAGGGAAGAGACACCGGGCCAGATCTCTTCAGTAGGAGTGCGAAGCATCCTGCAATACACAACACAGTTTTTATCAGTAAAGAACAAAAATTACCAACAACAGATATATCATAACTTTTTTTTTAGCCATAAGTGTCGCATCTCGATCAAAATGTTTAATAACTTTTTTTTTATGTGACAGGAGGCAAACCAGCAGACGGATCACCTGATGGTAAGTGATTACCGTCGCCCATAGACACCCACAGACCCAGGGGCGTTACAGGTGCGTTGCTGGCCTTTAAGGTGAAGATACGCTCTCTTGAAAAAATATATTCTAAATGTGTCAAAATTACCTGAAGATTCGGAAGAGTTGGTCAATCTCCGAGTCTCCCTGGAAAAGGGGTTTCTTGGACGACATCTCCGAGAAAATGCAGCCCACAGACCAGATGTCGATCGGGCAGGAATACCTGAGGGCAAACAGAATGTGTTATCCAAGTAATTCAGTGGTTACATAGAGGTGAAAACTATAGGCTTTGTAAGCTGTTTGTTTTCTGAATAGAACAAAATAAAAAAAATGTAGGTATACAGCGATCGCGATGTTTTTATTTAAAAAGACTGGCACTAGTTTACTGACCTAGATTTCGGTATTAGGTATATACTTTTTATCACACATTGAACATAATTATTTTTACTTAAGAACATTAAACTTTATTTATAAATCACAAACATGAGTAGAGAGACAAAAAGTCTTAATGCTGATGATGAGACTACCAATCCAGAAAATAACACACCATACAGTTTAAATAAAAGGTAGGTATCAATCATGCATGTATACATATATGTATAGCAGGGCCGGAGGGCCGTTGGGATTTTGGGCTATCGATTCGAAAATGACCGTTTGTAATCCAGGTTCGGCTCCGCCTAAAAATTAGCCTACATACGACAATGGTATAATCAATATAACAGTAGTTTTCTGGCTACACAGGAGTTGTAGAAGTGAGAACGAGAGGTGGGAATAGTCCCATATAAATGCAGAACGGCCACATAGTTACATTGACATAAAATGTTACGTACCTCTGGCTGCCGAGCAGCACCTCGGGCGCGCGGTACCACAGCGTGACGACCTCGTGCGTGTAAACGCGAACCGGCACGCCGAACGCGCGCCCCAGCCCGAAGTCCGCCACCTGGGGAACAAGGACAGACATGTCTCATCAAGTCACCAGTCGTCAGAATAAGGAAAGGACCTTAATGAAAATAAGAAAAATAAGTTTTTTTTTCTCTTTTGCCATCTGCAATCAGCCAGCAGCTTTTAACAGGTTGGATTGTAATAACAAGTGACAAAATACAACAGAGAACAGAAGCTAATGCACTGAAACAAGCCCTAATTTTAAGTAGCATTGGGCGGGATACTTTTCCCGCTAATTACAGTATTATAATCAGTCTACTAGTAACTACTAAACTAATCAAATACTTATTTACCCTACAATAAGTTTCAAACTGAACCAAATAACAAAATGTCCGCATGCTATCCAGACTATGGAAGCTCATAAAGTCTGCCACAAGTGATGTTATAGCTCTCATAAAAAAGACTGCAACCTTTTTGGAGTAATCTGGGTTGGTTGAAAGAAAAACACAAGTCTTACAGAGGTTCCAATAAGTAAGCTAAGAGTGTAAAATGCCCAGCTAAACTAAACTATGCTTACATTTTCTAAATAGAATGGCAAAACCAATTACAGTATTCACACAAATTAACTGAATCAAATACCTTAATGATGCCAGTCTTGTCGATGAGCAGGTTCTGTGGCTTGAGGTCTCGGTGCAGAATGCGGCGCTGGTGGCAGTACAAGATGGCGCTGTTGATCTGGTACAGGTAGCTTTTCACCACCGCCGGGTCCATAAACTAGAGGACATAGAATTGTTGTTGTTCATTGACAGACAAAGATAAAGAACACTTTAACTGTTAACTCGCTGAATGCCAGACAATCTGAAAGTAATTGTGTTGTGCCTGTATTTGTAACATATTTTATGCAGACAAAAGGTTAATCATGGTTTGTAATTAGAAGTAAAACAGATGATATTTCAGAAGTTTGTCTTGAAAGATTGTATTTGCAAAACATTTTATCTCAATAATTTATCATGAATCTTGTTGGCATCAGCTAACATCTATAATATAATTTGTTGTTATTTTCATTGGAAGTCATAGCAGTATCTCCAAAACAGAATTTCTATCAGCATCACCATTATAACATCTGCAGCTTTATGCCTATTCTCCTCTGTCCTGTGTAAATATTAAGATATCACTATGAATGAATGAAGTAAGATTAGGGTCAAACGCAGACTTAAATTACAAGTAGAAAAAGCTACTCTGAGAACTCCCTCACTCATGTAATGTGGTGCAACATTACAGCATTATGTAGAACTAAATATACCACTGTTTCTTTGGTACACATAAGTAATCACAACAAAAATGTCACTCACTTTTCCATTTCCAAGAGAGTCCATATATTTCTTCAGGTCCATAGAGAGGAACTCGAAAATGAGGTATAGTCGCGACTCTTCCATCAGCACATCCTCCAGCTTCACTATATTTGGGTGGTTTAGCTCTTTCAAGAGTGAGATCTCGCTGAAAGAAAGCACGCGTAAACAATTATGTATAGGTTAGAAATCAAGCAAAACATTACAGAAATCCAATATTATTTTCTGTACAAGTTGATGCCTAATTAATACGGAAAATGATACTGATATTTATGTTGGGAAACCACCAACCACACCTACCGAATAGCAGTGGACGGAATGCCTTCATCTTCAGACTCCAAACGAATTTTCTTCATAGCCACAAACTGGCCGGTTATTTTATTTTTCCCCTTGTAAACAACACCGTAAGTACCTTCACCGATCTTCTCAATTTTGAGAAAATCATCCATTTTGTAGTACGGAATTTTGTTAGCTTTTCGATAAAACGCGGCGAGAACGCGAGAGTGGGGCTGTACAAAAACTACCGCGTGCGGTTAGTACAGACACAACGGTAGATTGATAATTAGTAGGGCACTGCAAAATATCGTTTTATTGCATTGAAAACCAGAAAATAATTCAGTTCTTGCAATATTTTACAAAACAACGCAATCGTTTCCTTGCAGTAACGACTTTCAAACGTAAACTTTTTAAATTTCAGAACTGTCAAACACTACACTACAATTCTTTTTTTTTTATTAACAGCATTGCTACTGAATGTAGGCGTAGCTCACTTAAATAGCTCACTTAATTTGCGATGTAAAAGAATGGCGACGTTTAAAAAACGTTGCTTTATGATGCAACACAAGGCACCACACAGCAAACGCGCAATCTTTTAAGGAAGGAGCATCAAAGCAGCGGTGAAAGTTTTTCTATTAAAACATGATTGATGAATGTACTCTATAGCTTTGTGACATTATCTTTGGTTGACATTGTGCCGGCCGTGTAATGTCATCCATGTCATTTTTGTTTTGATTTTTTCGCTATTTTGTAGGTTACTTTTATCGTTCGTTTGGGGGACTTTTTTATCGTATATAAATAAAGGTTGACTTGGTCTTGTAATAAAACAATATCATATTCTTAAAAGTAAACACTTTTAATATTACAATCAAATTTTTTCTAGGTTGCTTTTACAGAATGGTCTCCAAAGTTACTACTGTAAAACTTTCCAGTGGGCATGAAATGCCTATGATTGGACTTGGGACGTATGCTGTAAGTTTGTTAAGTTTCATGTAATCCACACCTGACCTTTGAACTACATTATTAGTAGGTAAAGTAAAGGAATTTCAAATTTTCATTAGGTACCGAGTATGACTTAGTTTTATCTTACACGAGTGTGTAAGTGCAAAAAGGCGCTTTCTGCGTGCAGTTTAGAAGTAATCAATTCACAAATATTAAATTAAGGCCAAATTGGAATAACACAGAATCATTCTTCTAATTAAAAATACACATCATTACTTACTATTGCATTTACAGCGTAAAGCCGATCCTGGGCAGTTCTGCCAAGCAGTTGAATGCGCGATAGACGCAGGCTACCGGCACATAGATACAGCGTCATGCTACAAAAATGAGGTGGAGGTTGGACAAGCTATTGCCAATAAAATCAAACAAGGAGTGGTGACTAGACAGGAACTTTTTGTAACAACTAAGGTGAGTTAGTTAAATTCAGATTAAATGACACTTATAATTACTACAACTTATTGCCACTCACCTTCAATCCTTTTAATTATAATGTTAATTGATAGCATAGCTGGGCACCGTTAATCAAATAGTTAACTTCGTTAATCGTTAAACCGTTAATAAAAAAATTAACTTCGTTAAACGTTAAAACGTTACATTCAGCAAGATTTAACGGAAGTTAACGTTAATCGTTAATCCGTTAACACAAGCAAGGTTCAAATAATTTCGAAAGCAAATCAGCTTTAAATTTTATGGTATAACGTAAGCCTAACTTTTACGGTGGCTTTTTCTATATATTCAATAGACTGTAATTCTACTTACGTTATACCATAAAATCATACTAGCTGACCCGGCGAACTTTGTTCCGCCTTAATGGCAATAAATAAGCAGACTTTTTTTAAAAATTCCGAACGGGATAAAAAGTCCTATGTCCTTCTCCTGGCTCTAAACTACCTCCCTGACAATTTTCAGCTAAATCGGTTCAGCCGTTCTTGAGTTATAAGTGGAATAACTAACACGACTTTCTTTTATACTATATATACTAGCTTTCCGCCCGCGGCTTCGCCCGCGTGGTTTGTTATTCCAAGTCTGATTCTTTTTTGTTATAATACGTTTTATAGTGACTGACATTTCATGTCAAGTCACACGGGAATGCTGTCGAACGGGATAAAAAGTATCCTATGTCCTTCTCCTGGGTCTAAACTACCTCCCTGACAATTTTCAGCTAAATCGGTTCAGCCGTTCTTGAGTTATATTAAGTGGAGTAACTAACACGACTTTCTTTTATATATACAGGGTGTTAGGTAAATGGGTATATGAGCCGACACTAGCCCATGTTAACATGGGCATATAAATGGTATGGTGAAGTCAGAAATTTGATATCATCATTTTAATTTTTTTAATTTTCATACAAAATAAATTTTACAAAATACGATTTGTATTAAAAATAAAATAATAAAAATGAAGATATCAATTTTCTGACTTCACCATACCATTTATATGACCATGTTAACATGGGCTAGTGTCGGCTCATATACCCANTCAGAAATTTGATATCATCATTTTAATTTTTTTAATTTTCATACAAAATAAATTTTACAAAATACGATTTGTATTAAAAATAAAATAATAAAAATGAAGATATCAATTTTCTGACTTCACCATACCATTTATATGACCATGTTAACATGGGCTAGTGTCGGCTCATATACCCATTTACCTAACACCCTGTATAGATAGATATTTGGGCAATGATTAGAAATTGTTTCGACATCAGCCACACAGTTTTGACAGTTCCAACTCCTTGCCAGACATTTTTTTAGGATAGCTGCCAAAGCAACGATGACCCAAACTTCATAATCCACCAACATTCTAACCTATATTGGGAGCATACGCTGACGAACTTTCAGCTTTTATAAAATGACGTAGGTCTGGCGTTCACCAGCTCTTAGTCTATAGTATCTCAATCTCAGAGCCTTTGTTCAATTACAATACAATTTAGCACCGAAGTGCTCGAAAAAACAAATCCAACAAACCCAAACTCGATAAGTTTCCGCGGTTTTGTTTAGGAATTCCTATGGCCACCTCCTGAGTCCATCATCAGGACCCTGCACATCATCTCGTACTAAATTGCTCGAAAAGACAAATCCAACGAACCCAAATTCGATGCGATGCCGCCATTTCATTTAGGAGTTCCTATGGCCACCTCCTGACTCCATCATCAGACCAGCTTAATGGTACTATTTTTCATTTTTGGGATCGGTTTGCAAAATATTTAAGTTTAAAGTGCCAATTTTTGTTCAAGTAGGGCGTCCCCCCCCTCTTAAAACTAAACTGTTGGCTTTAAAAATCTAGAAAAATTCGTATCGATACTACTTTTCATGAACTTTCAAGGAAAACTGTAGCGGTTAAAATACATCAGTTAGATTAAGAGTAATAGTCATTTAACTAATGTATTATAAAATTCCTTAACTAGTGAAAATTCCTTAGAAGACATATTAAAAGTGACTTAAGATGAAGTAATTGCTTGCTTCTGAAATATATTATTGTGTTAATGACGGACAACTACGGAACCCTACACTGCGCGTGGCACGACACGCACTTGGCTAATTTTTATTCTAGTGTTTTTCAGCGTGCCTGCTGTATCTTTTTGGTAAATAGTAGGTACTTACTGGATTAACGATTAACGGACTTAGGATAATTTAACGGAAGTTAACGAGTCCGTTAACATTTTTTTAAAGTTAACTTAAAAGTTAATCCGTTAATAGAAATGTTAACTTCGTTAATTAACGATTAACGGATTAACGAGTTAATGCCCAGCTATGATTGATAGCTGTTCCTGATGAATTTTGTGATAACAAGTTGTGTAACATGTAATTTTTTTATTTATTTTATTTTATTTTATTCAGAAAACAAACAGTGCTAATTGACTTATTAACCATCTGAGTATAAAGCTTTACACCAATTTATTATATGTTTTCGCATACAATAACTGCAATAAATTGTACTAATATACCTAAATTATTTTATACTTCTTACGTTACAAATTAACTATTACCAGATTAACTTGTCCTATCCTTATCCTTTAACTATCTAAGATCTTTGTAGTCAAGAGTCTGTTTATCTCACAGATAAGTTTCTAATAGGCTCAAGGACTAAAAATCTGATGAATAGTCAAAACTAATAACACTATTATATGCTTTTACTTTTCAGCTCTGGAATGATTCGCATGCAGAGGCTGATGTGATACCGGCTCTCAAAGAGTCACTGAACAAACTAAAACTGGACTATGTTGATCTGTATCTGGTCCACTGGCCTGTTTCTGTGAATGTGAGTACCCATTTATACATAAATTCTGGACTACTACATATCTCTTATGGTAATAGTGTCGCCTAGCATATCAAAAACCAGTAAAAAATCACAAATTCCCAATTAAAATAAGGTAATTAATTGGTAAGAAACCCAATATTTACTGGAATCATCAATCTTTACTGGAAATAGGCCTCTGCATAGTTTGCCACTAAAAGGATCAAAAAATTAAAATAATACTTATAATCAAAGCTTATTTGGAATAAGCCTCCTTTATTTTGTATCTAATCGTGATTCAGTTCTATTAAATAACTAGCTGACCCGGCGAACTTTGTTCCGCCTTAATGGCAATAAATAAGCAGACTTTTTTTTATTTCGAACGGGATAAAACGTATCCTATGTCCTTCTCCTGGCTCTAAACTACCTCCCTGACAATTTTCAGCTAAATCGGTTCAGCCGTTCTTGAGTTATAAGTGGAGTAACTAACACGACTTTCTTTTATATATATAGATTTCTATTATTTTTTTTTATCTTTTGGTCTATCAATAACTACATCCATTTTTTTATACATAAGAGTCAAGGAGAGGACACAGCAATAGATCACTCTGAAACGTGGAGAGGAATGGAGCAGGCTGTGGCGCAGGGCCTGGCGAAGTCCATAGGGGTGTCTAACTTTAACGAAGAACAGCTGGAAAGGCTGCTGAAGAGTGCCAAGATAAAGCCTGTAGTCAATCAGTTTGAGGTGAGCACCAGAAAATTAATTTGAATACTGAAAACACTAAATTTCTTTAAGTTGGCTTGTTGTAATTTTCAGTAATAATAAACTTTCTTATATTTTATTTATTTTTATTCAGATTTTAAAATGTTCTATCTAATTTATAGACTCAATATTTTAAGGTGCGCATTAATTTTCTTGCTGAAGTATAACAATATTACCACACCAAAATTGATTTTACTCAAATACTTACCTACCACTGAAATAGCTGAAGGTTTTAAAAATGTGTCATTGAATTTTTAGCAGTCACATTTTGAGTTAATATCGCCACCCTTATTAATTTCATGGACAATCTTTTTTTTTCTTCCAGATAAATCCAACCCTTACTCAGCATAAGCTAGTAAACTTTTGCAAAGAGCGCTCCGTAGTGCCTGTGGCCTATACGCCGCTCGGACTCATCTCTGAAGCGAGGCCGGAGTTCATTGGGAAAGACGCCATCAAAACTGACCCAAAGCTTGGCGAGCTGGCCCAGAAGTATGGAAAGACGCGGGCGCAAATCGCTTTGCGGTACTTGGTAAGTATTTATTATGTAAATTAATCAGTTTGTGATTTTTGACAGCTTGGTTATGTGGCCAGGGACGGATCTAGGGGGCCCAAGGGCAGGGGGGCGCCGCCTACTTGGTTTTAGAACACATCTACTTGCAAATCGCGGCGAACTTTGCTCTAACGGTGGGATAGGCGCCACAATAATATTTGGCCTCGGTTAGAAAAAATCGTAGATCCGTGGCTGTCTGTGACACTGCGCAGTTTCATTCGTCTTTGGTGTTTACTTATTGTGATGTCTTTTCTTTTTTTCTATTTGTATGTTTAGAAAAGTGAAGTAACGCGATTTCCGAATAAAGTTTTGTTTTGTTTCAGATCCAACGCGGCATACCTGTAATGCCGAAATCATTTACCAAGTCTCGTATTGAAGAAAACTTGAATATATTCGATTTCGAACTAACTGACAAAGAAATGGATACAGTAGATAGTTTTAATATCGATCACAGATGTGTTCCTGGTAGCATATTTGCCAAGTGCACACATTATCCCTTTTAAACAGATGTTTAAAATTGAGTTTACACATTGTGTAAACACATTATGTAGGTAGACAAATACTAACTTACTAGTGGGAATATGATAATGGTAGATTAATTATAACTTGAAAGCATAATAATAACTGTAATATACAAAGTATAATTACGTAATAATTGTGATATTTTTATACAAATGCATTGTTATGTATATTTGGGTACAAATAAAATTTGTTTTGTTACAACAACTTGCTTTTATTTGGAAGGGTACTAAGAGGGTTTAGTGGTCTTTAGAGGTCTTGTTGAAGAAAACAAAATACTTTTATAACCACCATTTTATTAAATCAAAAACAATAAATATAAATCATGTCCATATTCAATGCGAAACAGAAAATATCAAAAATAAAATTGCAGCAAATAAATGTAACAAATGTCGTAGATTCTGAGGTATAAATAGTGGAATGATAAGACCTTGGCTTAGCAAAGGGCTTATGGGATCTTTATAAGAGGAGTACAAAACGAAATGCACAGTAATAACGTAAAATATGCCCGTTTCATTTGAAATGCATGAAATGGTACCGCTTATTTGGAGGCAAGTTAATTGTGACCGTTTATTTGGTATTTAGTAAACAATTATCAACACTAATGATAGATTTTTTTGTATGTTGTACCTAATTAACTTAAGATTAGATAGACGTTAATTAGTATTGAATTGTGCTTACTAAACTATCTCATTGCTCTTGCTATCTCCATCTAGACTAGTAGCAAATTACACAATGTACCATTTCTTTACAGAAGTTACAAATAAATATTAACCTTATTGTAAAAACAACAAGGATTACATTTGCGTCCAGTATTTCATAGTATTCACTCTTTATCACAAATCACAGTTTTCATAAAATGAAAAATAACAGTGACATATTTGGTTCCGTTCAAAAACATGTTTGAAATAATAATAGTTTGTACTAAGAACTAATTAGGCAAACTGAGAGAATCACGTAACCTTAGAATAACAAAATAAATATTTATTTACAAATGATGATTGCGAGAGCCATTTCATTGTAAATAACATTTGTTCATGTCAATAATATTCTTCTGAAGAATCAAAGCAAAGTACCTTGTACTGTCAAAAATTAAACGTAAATCCAAAAACATAAACAATTTGTGACCAATAAATTTGTAGAAATAGAAAAACAGAAATACTTTTCAAAATCACTCCAACTGCAAAAGCAGCAAATAAAAAATTGATATTAAAAAGTGATCGAAACATTCTTAACAACACAAAAACAATACATTACATTTCATCCACAACTGTTCTACAAAAATATACTTTCGATGTATCAAACACTTAAAAGTTTAAAACAGTTCTACTTACGACTACGGTGACATTGACTGAAGCTTACTTTGTACATTTACATTATGTCCTATAGTATAAAATGTAAAAAGACAGGGGCGTATTCAGGAATATAATTTGGGGCCCGCATAACAAGCGTGGGGGTCACTGACCTCTATTTATACGAGTACGTCGACTATTTATGATTTTTTAGTCATTTTAGCACTGATCGTATTGGTTCTCAAGACACGATGCCTATAAAGACGAAAATAACAACGACGAATATAGTGCAGCACATTAGAGGCCAGTAGACTAAATACCAAAGAGTTTTACTAGTGGCAGATAATCACAGATACGCACAGGCCCCNTTGGCGCGAAAATAACAACGACGAATATAGTGCAGCACATAAGAGGCCAGTAGACTAAATACCAAAGAGTTTTAACTAGTGGCAGACAATCACAGATACGCACAGGCCCCGGGCCTCCGCTTGGCTACGATAAGTGTAGGCCGATACCTACCAAACAATTACAATAAAGGAGGGTTATTCGTGTCCAAGTGAATGGTTCAACTTTATAACAAATATTTTGATAAATCTGTGTTAAAATTTGTTGAAAAGTACATCATATAGAAATTAGAATCACAACTATTTGGTCCTAAAGTTGGGGCTTAAAAACTCAGATCAAATCAGTTGTTCCATTTCCTTGGACACATACATCCTGAAATCCTCCTGGGATCTATTATATTACTTCCAGACCATGTTAAATACATCCATGATGCTGTCATAGATCGTAAAAGTAATGGCTACATCGAATACTACTCGGCTGAGACGCGGCACGGTACCTTTGTAGAAGGCTAGTGGACCTTCAGCCTTCCACGTCTTGATGAAGCAATCCCATGTGTTCTTGTACTTGGCCGCTTCGAGCCCTTGCATCCTTGTTTTGACAACGTCGATCGGAGTGTTTCCGAAGACGGAGGCGGCACCTGAAGTTGGATTAGTTTTAATAGAATTAGAATCAGATTGAAGTAGATATGCATAAGCATATCAAACAAGTCAGTGACGAATGCAATTACTATAATTGATACAGTAACTAATTACTAAGTCTGGTAGGTATGAAGCCTCAAGTTTAGTAGGTAACCATTTTTCCATTGAGCATTGAGAGCCAATCTGTTGTGAGATGAATCGCAAGCATGAATTTCAGAAAAACTTCGTATAGCCTGACCAGGAACATAAAAACCCTGGCATAGAGGCGCGTCAATTGCATTTGATAGTGCAACACTGAGTACAGTCGTACCTGTGTTAAATTAATAGGCTAACTTTTATGTATCAGGATTCAGAATTACGGGCTAATTTGATATTTTCATAAATTAACGAAAAAATATTATTATAGGTAATCTGATTTAAATAAATTAAATGAAACCATCAATCGAGCTAGAAGAATTTATTTTATTATTCATCAATAATCAAATTCAGAACTTGAATATTCAACTGCAATGTCTGCTCATGAACGCTTCAAACTCGGTACTTCTTTCCCAATCCCATAAAATTNGTGTGTGTGTGTGTTTGTGTGTGTGGGTGTCTGTGTGTTTGTGTGTGTGTGTGTGTGTGTGTAGTGTGTAGACTATTTGAAAAAATCCTTAAGGGGCAATAATTTGGAATATCCACTAATTAAGCTCTCTGCTGCCAATTGTCTTTCTTTTAGAGCCACTTTGTATTTAATTTTAAAGGTAGCAATACTCATTAGCATTATTACTGTTTTTATTTTATCAGGATCTACCTCTTAGTATAAAAGTTATTACGTTTTCTTTACAATAAGTAATTGGAAGAAAAAAAGTTCTATAAAAAATTAAAAAAAAACTTTAAAAAAATTTGACCTCTTTTTTGTCGATAAAAATAGGTCTAGTTTCACCTTAATTTATATGTGCACTTTATCGTGACTCACACTGTATACTTACGTTTTTTTACTATGTCCCGCTTCTGACGGAAGAATCCCGCTATTTTCACTAAAAAAGTACCAAAGTCCCGACTTGGCGAAAAAAAAAACTGGCAACGCTGGTCCACGCGCACTGTGAGACCTCATAATAATGTTTGTGAATACGAGCGTGTTTCTCCTTTGCATCATTTATTCTACAGTCATCTTCTTAACGAGTAATCGATAAAAAGGGTGTATTCGATGCTACCGCAGACCGATGCTGTGCGTTTCACATGATTTACGGTAATTCGCGGTCTGTGAGATGCGCAGGCGCCGCAGGGACCGCGGCCTGTGGTTTAGCGGTGATAAATAACTTATCTTTTGCGAACGATTCAAGGATTAGCTATCTTTTGAAATTACAGTATCCTCTGCCAAGACTTTTAACCCTTTATAAGGCAGTGGGAATATAGTTCCCGCCATATTTTGAACTTTATTTCGTTCTCTTAAGGTCCAAAAACAATGATACATTTGGACTTATTATGTCTGTTAAAGGTTTAAGTATCTACACTAGACGACCACGGTCGACGGGTGACCGCAGCGTAGGATCTGAAAAGGTGGACCAGCAACCTCGTGAAGGTAGCAGGAAGGCACTGGATGCAGGCCGCTAGCAACCGGCCAATCTGGAAGTCATTGCGGGAGGCCTATGTTCAGCGGTGGACGTTCTGTGGCTGAAATGATGACGATGATGATACTACACGAGCTGTTGAAAGTAAAATTGTGAGTGAAATGGTTTCCTAAAACGACTATAATGGAAAAATTATTCGATCACCAACAAAATGGGTAAATGCTCGCAGACTTAATTTGGATTTGCACAGGAATCGAACCTCTGAACTATGGTCAACCACTGCGCCAAACCACAACATAAAATCAAAGGCCAAGGTCTCCATAAATCAAAATAATCAAAGGCCTCGACTTAATAAAGTAATAAAATTCCCCTAAAATCAATGAAATGCAACCAAACACCAGAATACCGATCTCATAACGTTGCCCCATCCCGTTCAACTAGGGTTGCCAGGTGTCCGGCTTAAGCCGGATATGTTTGGCTTTTTACGGTGTTGTCCGGCCAAACATTGACCTGTCCGGCTTTTGTGTGTGTGTGCCGTTGTGCCGTGTGTGTGTACGTGCCAGACGAAAGTCGATCTACAGAATAATATCAAGCTCACGCATCAGGATGTAGACAACCGATGATGATAGTACTCACTCGTGATATTAATGACACTAATTGTCGGTGCCATGTCCGGCCAAATGAAGCACAGAGTCCGGCTTTTGTGTTTTTGGACCTGGCAACCCTACGTTCCACATAATACTGACAATAAAACGCGTGAATTAATGTATTTCGAATGGCGCGTAAAACGGAGCGACGGCGGCCATTTGTAATCTAATGACGTCATCAAAGTCAGATGTCAGTTATTGGCTCTGGGTTTTAGTTTGACTCTTTGCAGAGTGCTTACTGAGATAAGAATGGAAATGATATGGTTGTTTCATGTAGGAATTGGAGTTCTGTTCACAGATAAGTTGAAAATGTACTGGCAGCCATCTTGAGTATACTGGAGGGTTAATAAGTTAATCATGTAGTGATGTTCGCCATTTCTATATGATTAAACCTTAAGATACAATGCAATGCACCGTAATTGTATTTATTAGTATACTTGGCACTCCTGTGTTGAGACGTTCTCGGTGCTCCTATGATCAGTAGAGATAGTCAGCTCAGTCAAGTAGCGGCATAGAGTAGACCGTAACCCGCTGTGGCGGGCCGGGATTCTGGTACACCAGGACCACGAGGAGAAAACCTGTATAAAAACCATCGGTGTAGGGGAATGGGGGATCCCTCGAAGCCGGATTGGCTCGCTGTAGAAGACTTTAGCCTGAGACGGAGCTGCGGACGAATGTCCGAGCTAGGACAACAACTCGCGGCTCCGTTTGATTCGGTGGACACCGACGGGTTTTATTCACAACATTACTATGAGGTCTCACAGTGCGCGTGGACGCACAGGGTGACACATTAACCAAACACAGAACTCTATTCAACGCTGTACGTTCGATTTGCTGCTTCACTTAAGCAAGCATCGTTTGTAAATACGGGCTTTAGTAGTAAAAAAATGATGAACACTGAAAAGAAATGGCAAAAGAAACGCAGTCAAATTTGTCAGCTTTAACAAATAAATTGTACAGTACAACAGCAGTAATATTGTGATCCATTCCAATACATTTTATCTTTTACTCATATCCTTCCAGTAAAAAATAAAACGTTTTAATTGCAAATTCTCATTTGAATAGAATGAATATCAATAAAGGAAGAACGATCAGAACGTATGTTTGATCCGAGCAGGATAACACAGGAATTATTATACCTGATCGAACGTAGCTCAACGAGAAAGGCCAGCTCAACAATTTATTAAAACGTGAGATACAGGCCAAGAGCTTCCTCGTTTTGGATAAAAAACGTGCAACAATATTATTACACAATATCAATATCTCACTCACTTAACAACAGTTGCGATTGCGGTTAAATGTTAACCTGGCTTGTTCTGCATTAAAAAAAAAACAAATGATTGCTGCGCTGTGGGCCTCAGCGTATTGGTATATTTATACTTTTTAGGTACGATAACTGTAATTAGATAATATTTGATAGCCACGATAGCCGAACGGAGTGGCCGACTCGAGATCCGAGGAACGCGGGTTCGAATCCCACCGCCGCTCGACTATTGTAATGAGCCCACTCGTAACACAAGCTTATTTAGCTTACCTCGAGGGGCTAACGGAATTTCCGTTACGGAACTATTAGTAATTTGGGCAAAATACAAATTGCCAATAATCTTTAAAAAATAAATGTTTTCACTAAGTTTGGATTCCTATCTATTTTTCCACAGAACATACCTCTTTCTGTGTTTTGTGTATTTTTCCCTGAATACTGAAAAATTACTTAATTTAAAAAAGTACCTATGAACTTTTCATAGACAGATAAATAGGTAGGTGGTTATGGACTCGAGTTTTTTAATAATACAAATACCCAAAAATATTGTGCAAAATCAAAGATTACTGATTATAATAAACAGCACTTACAACTAAAACAAAAATATCACCCCAAAGTGTGTTGGCCTCATTATTTGGGCTACGACAAAGGCAAAAAGTAAAAGGGTTTGATTCATGCGCGTACGCACAATAGTCTTACGGCGACTGTTAGTTATTTTAACTTCCTGAGACAGTTTAATTCGAACTTGTTTATTTATGTTAAGATTTATAGTTAAAAAGTAAACGTGGTTTCCATTCATTATAATGGGATTGGTTAAGACAAAAAAAGTTTATTAAAATTTAAAACCATGTGAAATGTTCTAATATAAAGAGGCATTTTGTGGGTTTTGTGCCTCTAAAAGACACAGCATAATAAACTGATGAACTGTATTTTACTGACTGCTAGTTTCATAGATTACTAAGGCTGGGTTGCACCATCTTACTTTAACTTTGACAAACGTCAAAAATCTGTCAAACTCCATACAAAAACAGCGGTTATCTATAAAGTTACGGTCAAAATAAGGTGGTGCAACTCAGCCTAAGTAATCGTTATTTTTAAGAATAACAAAAAAAAATTAATGGGCACAGAAAAAAATGAATCATTAGACAATAATGAAAAATCGTACAAGGAAGTTTTGAAAAAGAAATCCCATCAAAAACATTCTGTAAAAAACTAGCCAAGTCTCGATGGAGCTGCTTGTTTATCTCTAAAAAGTAATGAAATCTAGACAAAGTCGTGCCANTAACAACGACGAATATAGTGCAGCACATTAGAGGCCAGTAGACTAAATACCAAAGAGTTTTACTAGTGGCAGATAATCACAGATACGCACAGGCCCCGGGGCCTCCGCTTGGCTACGATAAGTGTAGGCCGATACCTACCGAACAATTACAATAAAGGAGGGTTATTCGTGTCCAAGTGAATGGTTCAACTTTATAACAAATATTTTGAAATAAAATTTGTTGAAAAGTACAACATATAGAAATTAGAATCACAACTATTTGGTCCTAAAGTTGGGGCTAAAAAACTCTGATCAAATCAGTTGTTCCATTTCCTTGGACACATACATCCTGAAATCCTCCTGGGATATTTATAATATTACTTCCAGACCATGTTAAATACATCCATGATGCTGTCGTAGATCGTGAAGGTAATGGCTACATCGAATACTACACGGCTGAGACGAGGCACGGTACCTTTGTAGAAGGCTAGTGGACCTTCAGCCTTCCATGTCTTGATGAAGCAGTCCCATGTGTTCTTGTACTTGGCCGCTTCGAGCCCTTGCATCCTTGTTTTGACGACGTCGATCGGGGTATTTCCGAAGACGGAGGCGGCACCTGAAGTTGGATTAGTTTCATTACTATCAGATTGAAATGGGACACAAAATTGACAATAGAATCGTGTAATGTCACATGCATAAATCAAATAGGTCAGTGACGAATGCAATTACTATAATTAATTACTAAGGCTGGTATGTAGCCTCACGTTTAGTAAGTAACCATTTGTTTCAATGAGTATTGATAGCCAATCTGTTGTGAGATGTATCGCAAGCATGATTCTCTCAATGAATTTCGTAATGAGATGAATATCACTTGATCGGTAGACATATTTAAAATAATATTCTATCAACTCACCTGCAACACCACCAAACAACGCGACGATGTATTTGGGCACGTGCTTGTCCCTGTCTCCTCCCTTGTACCAGTCTCTGAGAGATTCCATCACGAAGAACCTGATCGCCTGATTACTGCCCTGCTTCATGACCGTCGCCGTGACACCTTTGTACACTCCTCCAACACCTGAAATGAAAGGCATAAGTCAATTTAAACCTTGGATCAAATGTAGTACACTATTAGCTGTGTGAATATACGCCCTTTGGTAAAATGATCACGTACCAGATTTAAAGACTACGCTTGTTGCAGCAATCAGTTTAAGCCTAGGCGCAGACCTTCGATTTTTCGTCGGGCAGTTGATCAGTATGGGCATGTATGCAAGTGCGCACATTACACCGATTTGGTATCGGCCGATTCTTCACACAAATTAAAACCGGGCCCAACTATCGGTCAACTAAAAATCTGTGGTCTGTGCCTAGGCTAAGTACGTTTATGTAATGTTTTTTTTAAAGCTTATGTGCGTGATGTGTCGTGTCTAATAAACAGTGGTTACATTTGCATACACTAGAGTCAAACATTTCTGTGTGTAGATAAATCTTGGCGCCACGTAAAGTCATCATTAGTGGCCATTAGCTAACAAAGTGCGCCTAAAAGTAAATTAATAAGTAATTAAAAAATTAGTCAATCGGTTGCCCAAAATATATGAAGAGCGAGCCCTCAGCAACTCATTTCTCTTATCGGACAAACAAATTTATCAACGTCAGTTTAGATATGATATTCTGATTAGGTTTTTATCGAGTTAACTCTTGAAACTCATATTTATTTGCCATTTTCGAGATAATAATCATGTCTGACGGTATATTTTCGGCTGCGCGCTATCTTAATATTCTTTCTATGCAGCAAATAAAACACTCATTGCGTTGACCTTCGTTGTCAGTGAGCATTTCTACCAGTGGCACACGCGTGATCAGTAGCTGCGATATCAGTGTCATGGCCGCGTCCACACGAAGGCATGACTTTGAAGGGGTCGCACGAGATAATAACCAGACGATCATGATATAATTACACGCCGGTTATAAGTTTAATGTAATGAAAACGTAATGATCTGATACGAGTACTCTACCTACTACCCCACCACTACCAGAGGAAATTTAGTAAAATGTGGATTCGCCCCAATAAACTTAAGTTTGTGATCACTGCGCCAATGAAAGGTCGCGCGTCCTGTCATTGGCCTATGATCGCCATCGCCGACGCGATCTGCACGCGTTGGTTTGGCTGAAGCTTAACAATCTTGTACACTTACAAGGCTGACTAAGGTGTGAACATACCCTAGTGATATGATGATGACACTTAATCACAGAATAAGTAATAGTAATACAAAATTCGCAGACATGTAGATATCACATATCGCAAAACTAATAAAAAATGCCGGTAACATTTAGATAATCAATTTAACTTCGTTGTTGGTTGGGACCTTGCTAATGTGGTAAATTGATCGTGTATTTATAGTACGCATTGAAAAGACTTCTCCGTCATGGTTTCACGGTAGAATGTACCAAAATTAAAAGACGACATTGAACATTTGCATTATTGGTCAGCTCTAATTTGTGTAGGAGGTTTATGACAGGGCAGATGAAATTAGTGTTGGAGTTGGTGAAAAGTTTCCGTTATTGACATTATAACATGCAAATTAGGTAACTAATTTACACGTACTCGGACTTATTTTACTTACATATCTCATCGGCACTTCGCTACTTTTTGACACATTACCAAGTATACAAATATGGTGTGGCATAAAATCAGAACAGTCAGCATCTCCCGAAAGGAGATAACTTGAAATAATTTCGACTGGTTAGGCGGGTCATTGAATGGTAAGGTAAATCCTCTATTTGCCTATGGCACTAGGGTGGTCAGGGTTCGTTTTCCTGCAATGGAGACTAAATGACCTGTCGATGGTGGAGAAATGATTAATTCCATAGATAAAGTCCAGTTTCCCCACTCACCTTCTTCCCTCACGATGGTCCTGACGCCGTGGAAGAAGCCCTTGAACCGTGGCTTCTCCAGACGCATGTCGTTGATGAACTTGACCTTCACGGTTTCCATGGGAGTGACCGCGAAGATCGCCTCCGCTACACCAGCGGCGAGACCGCACGCCAGCTTGCCAGTCGTGGATAGGGTGCCATTGTCGTTTACCATGTACAGTTTCGCTTGTTCGAACACACCAAATCTGAAATAATATCAAGCTTCTTAATGTAGTTGAAGTAAAATCCTATCCGTGTAAACAAAGTACCATACATAACAGTTAAGATTTTGAAATCGCTTTACAGAGTGAAGTAACATACAAGTAACCGGAGCAAAGCTATTTCGGAATTACTACAACCGTCACGTTTGTAACTTTGTCCAGGGAAACTGGGCTTCTAACTTCTTTCATTTGCTCTTTCACGATCGCATCATTACGTCTCAAGTTACCTCCAAAACGGTAAATAATTTGTAGACTAATCGCAATTGTCTAAAATGAACATGACATGGACATGGACTACAGGTACTGGTCTACATACTGCTTAAAAGTCGTTTGACGTGGCTCAATCGGGCATGAAGTAGGGAAATATCTTTTTCAATTAGGTCAAACTATGAACCTCTACAAGTGTTATTTCTGTGTGTGTGTGGAAATCGATAAAAGTAACGACGTGTGATATCAATAGATGTATATTCTGATAGATAGTCTACTTTGAATGGGTACACTACACCGCGGAGATGGCATCTAACGATAGAACTACTATCAATCAAATCAAGCTACTCGTATATCCATGAATTAAAGAATTAGAGGCTAATTTTATCAGCCCAGGGCACGCTACAAAATTTTAAACGGATCCGTATTTTTATATCGGTTTAACCAGGTAAATATTAAATTCTCGCTGATTTTCCTTTTAGAATGGCATTTAATTATAAAACGACGTCTTTCTAAAACGCAGCAGCAATAGATAAATTACTGATTTGCGAATTATTTAGACCAAAATTACGAAATAAGCTTTGTTGTTATGTGAAAATCGAGTAGATAACGTTGAGCGTTGTGTTATGAACTTATGATTGCGGATAAGATATCGATTGAAAAACAAATCTTGTGGCTTTTCAAATGTAATAAAAATGTATATTGACTGGAAGACGAAACTTCTAGACTGTCATAGTAAGTTATGTAAATGTAATATTATGCAAATTGAAGAAAGAATGGCTGTGTCCGCAACGCATTTCGGCGCCAAAATACCTGTATATTTTTATCTTACTTGCTGTCATCATATTCTAAAATACTGTAGTAATTTTTTTTGGCTCCATTTTCCAAAAAGAGACAAGCTGTTGGCATTACGTGTAGGTTCGCTTGGCGTGTTCAATGATATGCATACGTAAGAGCACACAATTTGACAATGAAAACACTTATTTGTTTTTTAAATAACTCGGTTCAAAGTCCATGTGCGCTTTTTATTTACACGAAAATATTGTATTGGCAATCATATTATTATGTAAAGATGACAGCAAAATTCATAGTCATTTCATCTCATGAGTTTACTGCTGTGCTGAGTGTACTCGTAAGCACAGTCGATAGCACCTCAGCAGACTAAAGATAAGCAAAGTGGCACTCACTAAAACTACATTAAGTTGCTAATGTACTGCTTGAACTTGAAAATAATCACCTAAACCGGATATCTTCAGCATTTTGATATTTAGAAATTGTTCCTAACAATATCATAAATATTCAGTTTTTTTAATTGGCACGCTTTATCGCTCTTAATCTGTCAATTCATAATGAATACACTTACATAATATAATCTTTCAATTAATAACGGCTATCTCCGTAAAACTACAAACGCCGAAAATGATTCCTGCGTGGTGACTGAAGCTATAGGGACACATGAAAAGAAAATGCAACGCCCTTTATGGAATCCTAACAGTACCTAATCCCTAACTAACGAACTAACATTGAAAAAGACAGGACTCTATGAAAATACCTTTTCCCTATAGGATCGAATTTATGCGTCAAAGCTCGTGGGTTGTGTGGGGTTTCCCACAGACCTACTTTGGGGGCGTTTGGATTGTCAGGATTCATGTACAGACTACATATTAGGATATCAAAAACACTGTGGCTTCTTATGACGTTGTAATAAGTATCATTTGGAACAGACATGTTGTCTGATACGCTGTCGACAGTACAAGCGCAAACACATCTGAATTTTCCAGTGCATTTCAAAGACGTCAGTAAATTATGTCGTTTTTATTTACGTTGCTCGAGGTTACAAGGAAATGAAAAAAGTTGATTTTAGTTACGCGTGGGATGATCTAGATCTGGAATCTGGATTCTTAATGTTTAAATAAGTACCAGATACCTAATGGTATCGATTGTAAGCATATTTTAGCTTCAAGCTAGATAATGTAACATTTACGATAAATTCTATTTCTTTATCGCTTCGCTACGACACTAAGTCTCATAAAATCATGTCTAATGTTAGGCACATCGAAACGCATAACGCATGGTAAATGGTCTACCTACGCATCATTACATTATACTTCTACTAAATAATCACTTGCCAAGGTAAGCAAGCGTTACTGACTTTTACACCTTATCAGAATGGTAACTAATTTGTAACTTGTAATTTGTAACTAAACGTCGGGAGGGTAAATATTTTATTTACCGTTAAAATAGATATTGTTGCAATAAATCCCGTGAAGTGATAATTTTATAGTAAAAATGCAACATAATAGTTTAAAATATTATATTAGGTAACTGTTGACGTCGGTTTAAGGTTTANAAACAGTAACTAATTTACATACATTATGTACAAGCGTGTGATTATCGAAAAACGTATTTTCTGGAATCTGGCTTCTACTTCTGCATCTGAATGCCACGAAGAAGTAGAAAGGATGATGATACTGGAATTCTCAACTACCTATTTGACCGAATTTATTTTCTGATAATTCTTAGAGGGGTTGGTGGCCCCTTGTGACCCTGGGTACGGCCCTGGACGGAATGATGAACTGTTATCAGTCATTATTGCCACGTTCCACTTTACAGAAACGTGAGACGTGCAACGGATACTTCGTTTAGCTGCAGTGTTTCCACGCGTTACATAACAGTACGTACCTACTGTGACTTGTAAGTAACACTGCGTCCAATGGAATACGTAGACGGTTATTCAGGTCATGGGCAGTGTATGAGAGAAAAACTTGTGAAAATAAAATAGTATGTAAGTATAGTGGTTAGTCACTATCTTCGCCTGTCACGCGGGAGACCGGGGTTCGATTCCCCGCCGGAGAGGCATAACCATGAATTAAATAGTAACTTAAATTATTTGGAACAAAAATGTAAAGTCCGACTATACGAATTTTTCCTGTGAAACATTACTGCCGGGCACCGAAACTTACAACATGAAAAAATGCTGCATACCTACTTTCGACTCTGAGGTGCAGAACTACAGCAGAACCATGCAGTTCCCGTATTATCCATCCATCCATCTCTCTCACTTCCAGCGATAGACTCATTCACTCATTGTGAACTAGTGAATACGGAAACGGCGTAAGAGAGGAACTAGGAAGAGAAGCGTGCGTAGTATCGGTCAGTCCCGCTTTTGATTACTTACTGTATTTTGGGGTGAGAAAACGAATAAAACGGAGCCGCAAATACGGATGTTGTTTGATATCAATGAGACAAGTTTAGACATCTTGATTGAGAGATCACCATAGGGTAACATGTGCCTATGCATTTCGAAGAAACTGATGAGTTAGGAGCTATATTTTCCTAGTCAGAAATGCCATATCTAATTTAGAACTGTTAGTTTATGAAGTGTATTAAATTCTTCTCTTTTGTACATCATGATGAGTAGGACATTTAAGATTGCATTCAAGCTGTAACTTCCACCTAACTTAAGCTCGATTCACACATATCAGTGAAGCCACAGTTCCGTCACAGTGTCCGCTCAGTTCAGTATCAGTGCTACAGTGTTGCGCCAGTGAAATATTTTGAATATTTTAAAATGTCAGAGAGCTGTTTCAATATACTTGTTCAGAAACTATGAAGTAAGTTATTTTGTTTTTGATGCGACGGCGGCGTCCGTGATCCGACAAAAAATATCGTCGTCAACCAATACGTCCGTGATTGCCGGTGTAGGCACTGACACTGAGAGCACTGTGTCGTCACTCACACTGACAAGTGGGGATGTGTTCATAGAAACTGTATGAAAGAATATTTCGCACTGTGCCGATACTGAGCCTGAACTGTGACTTCACTGATATGTGTGAATCGGCCTTTATCTCTCCTTGGGAGGTTTACTTAATACAGAAAGACGTAAATGGCGCTTCTAGTTGTGTGTGGAATGCGGACCTACTGAGCCAAGTCTTCTCATATTGTAAGATGATTCTTACCTGACAGCAGACTTGGGTATGGACCCATAGAGGAGCACACTAAGGCCTCTGTAGAGTCCGAAGAATCCATGCCCTTTGACAGTCTTTTTAACACAGTCGACGATGCCCGTGTATTGTTTAGTGCCACCTGAAAAATTATGTCAAAATGAGGTTTGATGAATTTGCATAGAGATAGTGATAAGATGCAGACAGAGCACTGCAGACATGTTTGATAATGCAGTGATAAGATATAACGTGGATGCAACATCTAAAATTAGAAAAAATAGCAATCTACTTTTCCTATTTTGATTGTACAGAAAGTTTTAATATTTTTCATTGACTCAATGAAAAGATAATTTTCACTTGTTATAAATGTTTTACCAATATAATGGAAACTGCACATTATTATTCTGTGTATTATTTGCATTCAATGGACTCATTACTACAAATGATTGTGCTGTAGGAGATAGCACATAATCACACTCATTATTAAACTTGGGAAATATTAATAATTATTAGAACTACACTGCTCAATGAAGCAAGTCTAATACTTATCTGTGTATGACAATTTTAGTTATCTCTAGGACAATTAAAATAACATTAGCACACACAAAAAAGAGTTACAAATCTCAAAAATAAATTGATGACAACATATTTTTAAAGAACAATATTTTTTAATCTATATGTCTGCAGTGTGTGAATAGACAAGTTAATCTTACCAAAAGTACTGTTGCCTTGGGTGTAATATTGCATGATATTGACATGATAAGGCTTATCATGACATAGTTAAGCTAAAGGATATCAAAACATGTTTTTGATCTTTGAGCTACATTTGTTAAATTAATGTTTGACCTAACCAATATATTTTCTTAGTGAAATAGTAAAATATTATTTGTGTAATAGGATTCTTATTAGAATGCAAAGTAAAATATAATTTGTGTAACTTGTTAAAGTAGCATTTTTGTTAGCTAGTTAATTGTAATATGGATTTTATTGTATAATTAAGTTAATGATCTAGTAAATAGACAGCTCAAGGCTCTGGCTCAGGTTACCCAAATAAAATAGCTGACAAACTAAAAGTAAACAACTACAGCTTTATGCCGACTTGACTATCGTAACGCATGTATTGTCTCCTCGTGTAACACTTCAAGGTGACCAAAGTCCACTACTTACTGTAGTTCTATCGAATTTTTATCGCGTTTTGCGTAGCTACTACAAAATTACGACATCGCAAATAACCTCCATTATAATGGCTTCATTCAAACAGGTAAACATTTGCAAACCGGAATATAACTCAAGGAAATAGTTATGACCAAAGATCAAATCAATCCGAATCGAAGTAAACCAAGAATGACGTAAAACATCCGTATTTTTAGCAAAATAAAAATAGTACAAATGGGATCGGCGGTTTTTCCTTGCCGCTAGCGATCTATAGCTGAATGAAAGTGTGATTAATTGAATATCTCTCTTATTTACTAACCTTTCTCGTCTAATTGGAGCTGTGTTTTTACGTATTCGGTGGGGAATGTGATACAAATTTCAATGCCACCAGTTATTCCGCCGGCCACAACACCTTTCAAACCCACTGATCCTGAACCCCCAGCCGCAGCCGCTGCGCCAGTTTCGGTCATCCATGGTCTTGAGAATGGATTTTTAAAACCTCCCGGCCTTGCAGACATGATTTTTATTTGTTAGGCACTTGCCGTTGGCTACAACGACTGCGAGCGACAACCTTCCCCAACGACGGTAGTTTTGCGACTGAATGAAATGAATGATAAACGAGACCGAGTGAAGAAAGAAATAGAAACGAATGAGATTGACTGAATGGTTTGATAAGAATGAACAATTTTCACTATTAATTAATTGGGGGTCTACTCTCAAATCACGGAGATGATAGTTCGTTTTATCATGTTGACTTTCTGATTTTTCTGTGAGCTCCGCTGAGCTCAGGACAAATTGATATTGTTCCAAGGTCTAAACTTTTGTTTAAAAAAAAATCTTTGACAACTCGAAGTCTCGAAGACGCTATTTTTGACAGTTCAAAAAATTCACTCAACAACCATTTTGTGTTGTGCGATTTTGTAATGAATTATTTCTAAAATTAGATTGTATTTACAGAAAGTAGATAAATTAAATTAAGTAAAAATGGCTCTTAGAACTTACGGCGATAAGCCGATTAGTTTTCAAATAGAGGAAGGTGGAGAATTTTACTGTGTTGGATCGGAGGTGATTACACGTTTACGGTTTGCTTGTTGTGTGCTTCGTGTGCGGTGAAATTTATGATGATTCTACATTTTAGGTTGGCAATTACCTGCGGTTATTCCGTGGGTCCCTCTACAAGAAGTACCCTGGCATGGTCAGGAGGACCCTGACGAATGATGAGAGGAAACGATTAGTTGACAATGGCTTGGGTTCCCATGTCCTTTCTAGTTCGGTGTCGCTGCTCAAAGCTTCCGAAGTTGAGGACGTTATTGAGGGCAATGATGACAAGTTAGTATCTTTTTTATACACTAAAATTCATTGTTGAGGCTGCAATCTGCATCCTCTGTTACAGATTTAGAAAAATAAAATCTGCTTATTAATGAATTGTTTTAGATATAAAGCAGTATCGGTCAGCCAAGAGCTGGCCACTCCCCGAGAGAGTAAGAGCAAGAAGCCGCACAATCCAGCGTGGCTGCCCGTCATGCCCAACTCCTCACACTTGGACGCTGTGCCTCAAGCAACTCCTATTAGTAGGACTAGAGTCCATAATAAAAAGGTATACAATGAAAAACAGGACTTATTTTATGTAAAACCTAAAAGCAGGACTTAAGTTTAAAAAATTTTTTGTTGTTAACATTCATATCGTCACCGTCGTGGCAGAATTAAATAACTGACAAAACCAAAGTTGCGAGATATTCCCGTTTTTGTGTTTTTTTTCGTTAAAAATGGCGATAACTTTTAAGGGTAAAAATATTTTACTGTCGGTCNTGTTCTTCTGATTAATTTCGTTGCGGGTCCAATGACAGTTTAACTTTCCCCCGGGACAAACTTGACCTTCATTGGTTGGGCTTTTGTGGCGGTCAAGCTGTAGATCCTGGCTACACAGGAGTTGCAGTGGTGGGAACGAGAGGTGGGAATAGACCCGTAAGTCACTTGCGTGAATGAAATTGTGAGAATTAAACACTGTAATACATAAAAAAAGCAAAATAAAACTCCCATCATTTTCCGGCAATTTTCCGAGTATTGCATTTATTAGAGAACGCAATTTTATTTTTGGGACATGTGTGGGTCAATGTGGTCAAGTTTTTGGGATCGCCACTCAGCACTCTTGTCCCCCAACCGCCATCTTGAAAAAAGGGGTGAAAACACTTTTTTAAGCGTCTTACAAAAAATTCGCTATGTCATAACTAATTTGTAGCAAATTGTTTTGCCTACAAATATGTTTACACAGGCCCCTCTTTCCCACTGGGCACTTTGGGCACGTGCCCAGGGCCCCACGACGGAAGGGGCCCCTGTCTGCTCAAAAGACCTTTTGCCAGATTATAAGACCCCCCTTGATCCTTAAGTGCCCAGGGCTCCTAGTAAGTTACTCTTTCAAGGTCACTGACATAATTATTATTACTGGACGGGATTATTACTGATGGATGAAACATATTCCATAAACAACAACCACTCACCGATCACAGCGCGCATCAGCTCGTGATACACGATGTGCTGGTACCTACATAGCAATGTTCACGTCCCTGGCGACCTGGTAAAGCTTGTCGTCGCCCCAGCAAGGGTTGAGCTCGTGCAGCNGATATAAGTAGGTATTTGACTCAAGTTTTGTTCCCAACTTTGCCCTCCATTTTTATCTGTAGCTTCATGGCTTCATACAATTTTTGACACATGCTGCATCTATCCATATCTGTGACTGAATGGTTTTGATATGAATGAACGACACGAATTGATTGGGGGTCTACTTTCAAATCACGGAGATGACAATTCGTTTTATCATGTTGCCTTCCTGATTTTTCTGTGAGCTCTCCAGTGAGTTCAGGATAAAGTGATATTGTTCCAAGGTCTAAACTTTTGTTTAAAAAAAAAACTTTGACAACTCGAAGACGCTATTTTTGACAGTTAAAAAAATTCAACCATTTTGTGTTGTGCGATTTTGTAATGAATTATTTCTCAAATTAGATTGTATTTACAGAAAGTAGATAAATTAAACTAAGCAAAAATGGCTCTCAGAACTTACGGCGATAAGCCGATTAGTTTTCAAATAGAGGAAGGTGGAGAATTTTACTGTGTTGGATCGGAGGTGATTACACGTTTACGGTTTGCTTGTTGTGTGCTTCGTGTGCGGTGAAATTTATGATGATTCTACATTTTAGGTTGGTAATTACCTGCGGTTATTCCGTGGGTCCCTCTACAAGAAGTACCCTGGCATGGTCAGGAGGACCCTGACGAATGATGAGAGGAAACGATTAGTTGACAATGGCTTGGGTTCCCATGTCCTTTCTAGTTCGGTGTCGCTGCTCAAAGCTTCCGAAGTTGAGGACGTTATTGAGGGCAATGATGACAAGTTAGTATCTTTTTTATACACTAAAATTCACTGTTGAGGCTGCAATCTGCATCCTCTGTTACAGATTTAGAAAAATAACATCTGCTTATTAATGAAATTTTTTAGATATAAAGCAGTATCGGTCAGCCAAGAGCTGGCCACTCCCCGAGAGAGTAAGAGCAAGAAGCCGCACAACCCAGCGTGGCTGCCCGTCATGCCCAACTCCTCACACTTGGACGCTGTGCCTCAAGCAACGCCTATTAGCAGGACTAGAGTCCATAATAAAAAGGTATACAATGAAAAACAGGACTTATTTTATGTAAAACTTGTGAAAATTTGAAATTTTTTGTTGTTAACATTCATATTTTTAATCCATTATAATAAGCTATGTAGGACGAACTTTTTTATCAAACATGATTATCGTCACAATTAAAATTGAGAGTAGCAAGAAATCGCTTATTCTTGTTTATGAGTTAGTAAAATCATCTCTGAAATGTTTTGCTTACTGAATACTGACTTTACGAAACCAAGTGTTAAGTCATAGTCTATTTCAGGTGCGCACATTCCCGCTGTGTTTTGACGACACCGACATGACAGCGATGCTGGAGAACTCATCGCAGAAGCAGATTCTTGTACCCATCAGATTGGACATGGAGATTGAGGGACAAAAGCTCAGAGACACTTTCACTTGGAATAAAAATGGTATGCATGAGTATTTTGTATCTGTAGTTAAATTAAATTATTTCCTGCTCTCATTTTTTTCCTATAAGATTGTGTTGATTGTCCTAAGTGACCAATTTGACACTTTAGCTACATCTTGAGTCTTGTTTCTTTCTGTAGTTGAATAAGAAAAAAAAATGAATAGATTTTGACTTAGGAAATTAATTGCTATGAGAAATTAAACAACATCAAAATTCCTCACAAAAAAAATAAGAATTCTGTTAAAAACATACATGTCTCCAAAAACATTAAAATTTATCTTAATTTATATTTGCTATGTTCCTTCCAGAGTCAATAATAACTCCCGAACAGTTTGCCGAGGTGTTGTGTGATGACTTGGAGCTGAACACATCTACGTTCATCCCGGCCATAGCCACGTCCATCAGGCAGCAAATAGAAGCGTTCCCGAGCGAACCACCAGCGATCCTCGAGGAGCAGTCTGATCAGAGAGTGGTTATTAAACTTAACATACACGTTGGGAATACATCTTTGGTTGATCAAGTAAGTACCTGTCTAACTTATTTATGTTATTTGTTTGTTTGTTTCAGCCAAATTGGATGATGACTGGGTAATGAAATCGAAATTCTATTTAGTCAATTCATTTTATGTCAATATATTATAAAATTATTGTTTATTAAATAAAACTTTCAAATGTCCATCAGACATAATAAAAAATATTGGACACAATTTTTTCATTTTTTTCGAAATTGAATCATTACAGTATTATATTGAGTTGAAGCCTTTTGAGTAAAAAATCTGGAAAGTAAAAAATCCGAACATCGTTTTCACAGGATCAATACCAAAACTTGAAATTTCTGTGACAAAATGTTCAAAATAAGGTCAACTTGCGCAAAATGTATAAAATGTGGTTAACCACATTTTAAATACTAATCTAACCTAATTTTGCATAAGTAATCTTTGCATCCTTCAGGTGGAATGGGATATGTCGGAGAAAGAAAACAACCCAGAGCAATTCGCTATGAAACTGTGTGCTGAGCTTGGACTGGGCGGAGAGTTTGTGACAGGCATCGCGTACAGCGTCCGCGGGCAGCTGGGCTGGCACCAGCGCACCTACGCATTCAGCGAAGCCCCGCTGCCTGTCATTGAGGTACATCCTTCAGAACATTCCAGAACAGCTCGCTATGAAGCTGCCAGGAGCTCGTGACGTCATCGCGTACAGCGTCCGCGGGCAGCTGGGCTGGCACCAGCGCACCTACGCCTTCAGCGAAGCCTCGCTGCCTGTCATTGAGGTACATCCTTCAGAACATTCTCGAACAGCTCGCTATGAAGCTGCAAGGAGCTCGTGACTTCATCGCGTGCAGCGTCCGCGGGCACCTGGGCTGGCACCAGCGCACCTACGCCTTCAGCGAAGCCCCGCTGCCTGTCATTGAGGTACATCCTTCAGAACATTCCAGAACAGCTCGCTATGAAGCTGCAAGGAGCTCGTGACGTCATCGCGTACAGCGCCCGCGGGCACCTGGGCTGGCACCAGCGCACCTACGCATTCAGCGAAGCCCCGCTGCCTGTCATTGAGGTACATCCTTCATTTTGTATATTTTTCCACGGAAGACCAGCTTCGAATTTGAGGTGATATCATACTGTTTTGTTTCATTATCTACATATAGATGCATCATGAACTTTTAATAGTAGATCGACGGGCAAAACCCCGAAACGAATTCTAGCCCAGGGTTTCCCAATTTTTTTTTGCCAAGGAACCCTAATTGATTATACTTTTCCTAGCGGAACCCCCGTACTACTCCGCCCGCACGCCCGCCCCTCCCTTGTGCGTAAACAAGTCGGTGCGAGCGAACAACGTCGGTCACGAAACGTGGGATAATNGGCATAATATTTTCCACGGAACCCCAGGGTTCGGCGGACCACCATTCGGGAACCGCTGTTCTAGCCAACTGACAGTGCTCAAGGACGACGAATGTTTCTTTATATTGATAAGTTTCAATTTTTCGTGCAAGGAGGTAACGAAAAGTAGAGAAGTAACCTAAGTTGACGAGGACTACACCTAAATTGACTTTTGTCAGGGTGAACCTCTGCACGCCAGCCCTATAATTTATTCTATACTCTAACCGAAGTCAAAGTCAAAGTCAAAATGTATTTATTGCATTTCATGAATGTTTACAAGATGTGGTTATCATATTATCCAGTACATCATGTTACCCATTTAGGCTTAGCAATTAAATAATTGATGTCCAACAAACATCTCTCAGACGCCGTACCGCCAGCCGTCCGAGGCGGAGCAGTGGGCGCCACACCTCGAGACACTCACTAACGCGGAAATGGAGAAAAAGATCCGCGATCAGGACCGCAACACGCGCCGCATGCGACGCCTCGCCAACACCACGCCCGGTTGGTAACCACACACGCTCACACACAAACACATACGATAGGGATGTTAAAAAAAAAAGTTGGAATTAGTCCGTCAGTTAACTTATCAAAAAATACATCCCTTACAACTTGTTTGATTGTGTCCAATATTCGCCAACACCACGCCCGGTTGGTAACCACACAAACTCGCACACAAACACATACAATAGGGATGTTTTCTGAATAAAAAAGCAAGTTTGAATTAGTCCGTCAGTTAACTTATCAAAAAATAAATCCCTTACAACTTGTTTGATTGTGTCCAATATTCGCCAACACCACGCCCGGTTGGTAACCACACAAACTCACACACAAACACATACAATAGGGATGTTTTCTGAATAAAAAAACAAGTTTGAATTAGTCCGTCAGTTAACTTATCAAAAAATACTCGACACGTATTTTTTGCTATTTCAAAATAATGATTTAAAGAGATAAAGCGCGTCAAACGTCGTAAGAGGCCCATGGTCTCTAGAGGAGTGCCTAGTGACGTCACGCGAAACTTAACGCATCATAACTTCCTAATTACTTGTTTGATTGACAATTAAAAAAATACGTGCCCAATATTTTTTAATAATTTAATTGGCGGACTAGATTATTTTTTAGGAAACTAACCTATTATACTGACTGACGTCTAAGGTGCAGTTATTCATCTGCGGTTTTACACTTGTACACAGTCACGAGAGACTAAGGCCCGGTTTCCACCAAAGCGGAGCGGAGCGGAGAAGTGTTTTGAATAACCAATCAGATTATTTCCACATCTCCTATTCGCTCCGTACCGCGCGTCGCCGCCTCTGTCAAATTCTATAGAAAAATTCGTCCGCCAGACACATCTCTCTTCTCCGCTCCGCTCCGCTTTATTGGAAACCGGGCATACTACACAACACATATTATTATACGAAACATTCATTGACACTCACACGCACTAACAGTCACCAATATTCTTCCAAACCAAACGAATTCTTCCATAATCAAAATACAGGTCAATATCAAACTTTGTTCTTCAACAAATATTTTTAACAGTATAAAAGATTAATCTTCGTCACAAGAAAAAAGATTGAGCAATACACAAATATTTGAATCGTGTTGTATTTTTGCATGAGACAACGCGAATTTGAAGACGTTACTTTACCTTTGGTTGTAGCCTGCCGTTAGTTTACAATAGTAATCTACCACATCACAATGGACCTGATTCTGTTCTTTTAAATGTATCAATTTTTTCCTTCAAAAAATAATGAGAAGAGAAATTTTCTGAAGAGGTTGAAAATACGCAGAAAAAATGCTTTAATATGATCATTTTAATATTTTGGTTTCCCTCTATAGTTGAATCAGGCCCACTGATTAATTTAAAGGGCAAATATATTTGTCTATTCTTTGCGAGAATTTTGAATGTGTTCATATTAAATTATTAATATTTATTAAAAATTCAAATATTAAATGCAAGCAGCATTGGGACGGAATTGAAAGATAATTACTTAACATGTAAGATTTTATGTAATTTTTCATGAATAATGTCTTGCAACCTAATTTTATTATTATCAGTTATGAATGATTTTGCATCCGTTTTAACATTATTTTACTATAGTATTTTAATTATGCGACTTATAAAATCTAGTCCCCATTCTTATGGTTTTAAATCTTTGTCAGCGCTTTAAATTAATGAAGCTTTGTTTTAATTTGTGTTATCGTCTAAATGCAAGTCTTACTTTTTGACGTATCTTAAGAAAAAAAAAACAAAGTTAAGTAAAATTATAATAATAAATTAAATAGGCTTGAGAGGTGCAAATATGGCAGTTCACGAGTGCGCTTATTTCTACAGTTCTGCTTCAATTAAACAAGCTTCAAGTAGCCAAAAGAAAAGAGAAAAAAAGGTTTTAAGAGAACTTGCCATCTTTTTTACCCGACTGCGCTAGAAACAGAGTTGTGTTTAATTATCACAGGCATATTCTTGAGGTTCAATCAAATTTTGAACGTCGTTTTTAGAGTACGAAGCGTTAATGTTAGTTTTATTATTAACGCTGACAAGACTGGCAAAATATTGCTCATTATAAAATAATATTTATTGAAATACGTGCTCGTGAACTGATTTTAATAAATGTGTTATTTAAAATTGTAATGGGTTATGGTACTGATAATTTATTTAGTATTAATTGACTTGAGGCAACAGTACAATAATATACCGCAGTACTTAAGGGTTAAGGTACCTTTTGTTATTGTGTAGGTCTATATTATAAGGTTGCCTTTGGAATTAGATAATTGCAAGTGTAGAAATGATTTTATTATTATAGTTTGATAGCAAATGAGTCTGTAAAAAAATATCCGAAATATGTCGTGTTTCCTTAGGAATAAAAAATTATAATACAATATTTGCTATCAAGTTATACGTTTAATTATCTTAGGTTTGAAAGACTTAAGTTCTTTGCTATTTAAAAAAATAATTTAGAAGTATGCAATAGCAATGCTTTATAATTTGACTGTTTGTTTCTGTTTCAGTATTTTTTCGATTCATAATTTATGCTTTTCATTTTTAATAGTTTTAAAAACTTTGGATATCTTGATAATGATTTTAGTATTTTTGGAACGTTTTATAATAAGGATGCCTTTTCATAAGTACAATTTCATAATAGCTGCTATGAATATGTAAATAGTTATACAAACTTAAGTAAAATATGCACAAAAAGGCTAAGATTAAAAGTGGCAGATAAATTGATAAACTTAAAATAAATAATGTATGGATTCTCAAAACTAAAACTGCTCAAACACTGCCTAAGAAAGTAATAATTTATAAACTAAAACAAATTAATAGTCAAACCGTTTGACATGATCTCTGAAATATTAAAACTTTTCGAGCGTTTATTTCGAACTGAAAATTATCTTTTTGTGTATATTTTACTGTTTTACAAAATCTAGTAAAATGTAAGTGGACTGTTAAAATTCTATCACATTAAAAAGAATTTTCCAAAAATTTATTTTATTGTTTCATTTTATAACCGTTCATCTTAACTAACAAGCTTGCAATGGGTGATTAAATTTACACAATCTGCTTACGTGATCGTATATTTAAATCTTTATGTTAGAGCAATACTCTTAGATATTTTATTAAACGTTTTGCTGGCTAAAAGTTATTAGAACTAATGAGTTGAATAGTTTGAGAAAAATATAATAATATCGTCGATGTAAATCAAAGTAATGTCGGTTGAGTTTAGTTGATTATTTGTCTGCTTTCTGGTGACAGATGTGTCGTTGAGCCGCGCTGTCAATCGTCTCATCCGCGCTGACGAAGCCATCTTCCAAACGACGCCAGAAAAGAGGAGGAAAAAAATTTAATCACCCAACGCTACCTGTCAAGATCCATTAGACATATCAACTAGTAATTTAGAACTGTATTTTTTGTTAATAGAAGTAATCGATTTCTAAATAAAAATTCCGGCACTTTGATGTTATTTGGTACAGTTTGTTTATTCTTTTAACTAGTTATGTAATTTCTTGCGCTAAAATATGGCGCTTGCATTCATTCAAATCAATTATAATTTTTTTTTGTAAATACAGGTATTATATTGCTAGAAGAAATGTCTTCTAAATGAACTTGTGTTATTGTCTATTAATCGTAGTTGAAAAAAGATCTGCTACACATATCGCTTAGCGTAAGGAATGAAACTGAACGTTTCATCAGGTATACAGTGTTTATTTCGGGTAAACAATGAATAGTATTTTAGAACATTCCTAATTCATTATGATATTATGAGATTTAAACGATTAAGGAATTCTTTTAGGTTTTTATACAGGTACAGCTATGGCCATATTTGAGACCCTGGGTCCAATTTAACTAAGTTCCGTGATAGAGGTCTCTATTTTAATCTCATTTTGTTACTTTTTAAGTCGATGATAATTTTCTATTGTCCGTTACTTGAGATCTATGTTTTTTATTAGTTGAGTATAAACATAATGTAATGTATAGAGGTAGATTTAAAACGATCTGGCTAGAAATAAATATAATAAACAAGAAATAGATTTTTTAGAGAAAAAAATACCATTATTCTTTCCTTGTTTGATCTATGTAGTTAAAAAATAAATTTTATGAAAAATAATGTATCGAAATTCCTTAGCAAGTAAATTTTTAAGCCTTTGTTGAACAAAGAATTGACGCCAGTCGTTGCCAATATTAAAAAAATATGCTATACCTATACCTATAACAACATAATTATGCTATAGATGTTTTAATTGATATTAATAAATGACAACAATTTCAATTATCTACTTAGTTTTATTTTAAGGACCCTCTGGACGGACGGCAGATTTGCCACTGGGGTCATTTTGAATGATTTCCTTATAGACATTAATGTTGATGGGGAAAATAAAGTCTTAAAAAACATTCTTGAAAATGGCGCCCAACGTGGTGGATAATAACTTGAAATTGAAATAGGTTCAATAACTTGCAGACAAAGAGAGTCTAAAGAGGCGCCAGATGGAACAAAGTAAATAAAAGTTCGGAGCCATAGATTAAAACTTTTCTGAGAAGGTTGCGGAAAAAAATGTGTTATGTTTGCTACTTCGCCTTCGGCAGCCTACGGACCAAACCGTCGAAGGTAGAGAGATAGGCTTTGTATCCAGGGTGATTATTATAGTTTACAGTGGTTAAGTATTAATCTGTTGGCTGTAATTCGCCGTTTGGATGTTTGAGTATCATCATCATCATTTCAGCCATATAAGACGTTCACTGCTGGACAATGTGGACCGACGATCTCGGTAGCAGGAAGGCGCTGTATACAGGCCGCTACCGATCGGTGATTACGGAATCGTCGGGTTGCCTATGTTCAGCGTGGTTCAGCAGTGTATGAGTAAGTATAAGGGCTATTTCAACGGTCCTGCAAACGGACGACAAACGTCCGTCTCAAAACGTCTCACCTGAAAAAGCTCTAAACAATTTTAGAAGATCTGCCTTTTTACGAAATGGTAAGAAGTATCAGGTAAGTAGTAAGGTAGTTTACGTATGTAATGATAGTAGTAAAAGATCCATAAAACATTTTATAAGCATGTTAGCACAGCGGGCGTGTGTTTTGTGAGCTTTGCGCCGTAAATCAAATCGCTGAAGGGGAATTTATCGCGCGACGTCGCTTCCAGCTTGTGCCATTTGTTTGGCGATCACTTCGCGGCCTGTTGAAGGCGCTATCGTCCGTTTATATGTAACTACAGTTTTAATAATTCATGTGTCTCAATCTCAAAGCACTCTCCCCTAAATACTTTGCAATGGAGGGAAGTCGAACCTTAACTTCGAACTCCTCCTATGTTCTTCTGATTAATTTCGTTGCGGGTCCAATGCAATTTTCCCCCGGGACAAACTTGACATTCACTGATTAGGTTTTTATTGGCGGTCAAGCTGTAGATCCTGGCTACACAGGAGTTACGAGTCCCGTGTCCCCTACCCATTTGCCTACCAGTACCACAGATGTCAGATATTAACCCTCTATGTAGAGACAGCATGGAGTCAGTGTGCTTACCATGAGTTTACGTTAGGTGTGCTCGCTAGCGACTGCGTAAAAAAATGACATTTAATTGTATGACATATTGTGCAGCGCCCCTAGCGGCTACTTTCAAGAAACAAAATCTTCATAGAGATTTTTGACGTACTCGCTAGCGAATACACCTAACGTAAACTCATGGTAGGTACACAGACTACCGCTCATGCTTACGGGATGCAGGAGCATGGCAAATCAACTTGCGCAGATTCATCAATTTCCAGCATCATTGCAGAGGGTAGCCTTCTGGGATTGCCTGGGTTGAAGTCAGATGAAAATATTAGGTACCTTAGTACCTACACATACCCAAGTCATGCACAATGACACAGAGGAAAAAGTTCAGCTAATGTGTAATAACTACGAAATATTTGGGCAGTTAGGGCTTGAGCAATCATTGTTTCTTAGTTAAAATTAGACTGCATTAGTTTCGCGGGGCCACCCTTAGGTAATCCTTGTAATGTTACGTCACACTTTCATTCTGGCCAATTGTTGCTCAGATGTGATCATTTTCAACTGGATTCGTCTGCAATCGCAGCTGGTCTTGTAGTACTTTAGGTTAACCACCAGGCCAGGTGGCCGTCCAAGTAATAAATTATGCAATTCGATCGAAGTTAGTTAACCCGTTGAGACCTGTCGGGGAGCCGGCCAGTGAATAGGCCATTTTGAAATTATTTTGTGTCCAACTTCGTACTTCGGAAGGCACGATGAAAGTTGGCCCCTTGGAGATGATTATCTCTATTTATTACATACTAAGTAATTAAGTAGATACTTTAGGACTGTTTAATCACTAGATCGATGTGATTTCTGCGTGTTTTCTCTGATTGCCGCTTAGTAACATCTATTTTCCCCTTCAGCTAATCTCATAAGCCCCGGTATTTCTCACACGCGCCTATGTGGCGCCATAACAATACTTGAAAGACAAGACATGATACTTAGTTACAACTTAGAATGTACCGAGTACCTAGGTGGCGAAACTTGTCCTATCTTATAGCAATATTTTCAGATTTGACTACGACGTAGTTTCCCGTGATTGTGGAGGATAAATTGATGTAGGTAAGTGCAAGTAAGTACAGACACAACACTATACATCTGGCAAAATTGCCCCTATTACAAGTAGGTACTTACTTAGGTAGGGACATAAGACGCAGTGTTTAGCTTGAGAAGCTGTTGTTGTAAATACCTATTCTTATGCACCTTAATAGAATCGAATGTGCGATTGCGCCTTCGGGACGTGTTCTTAAGCTACAAAATAAGTACATCCAGATAGAAACTATAAGAATACAGTAGGTATACACATCACCGACACCAAATAAAACCTCGTTTTGTAAGCATTTTTGTACAAAACAAGCGCAGATTTTGTGAGGTTGTTTGAGTCGTTAATCAAATTTTACGCGCTTGTCACTTTCAGGAGGTGGCATCCCTCTTGTTTACGATTTGTGGGCTCCCGGTGGAAACGTTCTTTGCCATTTCAGTGTCAAAAAGGAAAACGTTAAAAGACACAATTCTATGTTGATAATAAAATATTCTTAAAGTTCTATGTAAGATACTTAATTGACCTATTTACTTAGTTACATAGGTACATTTACATCTTGCTAAGGCACATACTGCTATAAAAAGCACCTATAAAGGCTCTACTTATCTACCTTCTACCTTAGTAGGTATTTAGTAGCTAACTACCTGCACGGGGCCTAAATGCAATACTTAATGACCTATTTCATGACATAGGCGCATTTATGTCTTTCTAATACGTACCTACTGCCTTAAATAAAGCACCTCTATCAAATACCTAGTTAGTAGGACCTACGGGCACTAAATGCGGGTAGACTGTCGCAAACTCCCTTAGTCGGATAAGTAAATATTGGCACATTTTGCTCGTCGGAAGCATCGAATCGAAGGCATAAGAGTAAACAGCTAATTCTATCATGCCCAGGTCATATACCCGGATTGAGATCGATTTGCGAGAAATAAAATTGGTTTTAAGAACTCGTAGAAACTTACCGTTTAAGCCATGTATTCATTAGGCAACATTTGATGATAAACTGTTTATGACTAGTGTGAAACAAGTTTACCATAAACACAGATTTCTGAAACTGTGCCGTCCACACTTGCTCTCCACTCATAGCGGGGAGCACGGCAACATATATCATAAACAATGTTTCATCACCTATGTTTATGGACTGTTAATAAACTGTTTACGGAGATGATGAAACATTTATGAAACATTGTTTATGAACAGTTTATAAACAGTGTTTATCAACAAATGATGCCTAATGAATACGAGTACATGCCTTTAAGTTCCGTTTAGGTATTTAGATTGTCTAAAGCATTGATTCCCAAACTTATTTGAGACGCGCCCCCTTTCGAACATACGAAAATTCCGCTACATGTAGGTATACATACGTGGTATAGTTCGTTTCATCCACGAAGACGCGCCCCACCAATTTTTGGTCGAGGGAAGCGCTGGATGCGGGGAGTTTGATCCGAGCAATCCGAGCGTCATTATTGTAGTGTGCGTGTAAACTCATGGATAATGTAGCGTGTACCGATAACACTCAAACATTAGCGGAAGAATGGTGGGGCGCGTCTTCGTAGATGAAACGATCTAGATGTCTTTGGACTTACAACGACAACGAAATGAATCTTAATAGGACGAGTTCAACTTCGAAGCTAAGGATCGGTTTTCCTCCAGGTTATTACAGGTAGTGACGCAATAAAACTTTCATAATCATAATAGAAGCAGCAGCGAATCGTTCGATCTTTTTTACTACTTAGTAATCTACCTACGCAGGGAACTGGAATGTTCTATCTTCTGAAACTTTCTTTAGGAATGCTCGCTTCGGTGAAAATACTTACTTAGTTATCTACCTGCCAATCCCATCCCCCATTGATTAAGGCAAATGAAAGCAATGGAAAAACCACTCCATCTTGTTAGGAGTTCAATGATATAATCCCTACTAATCCCTACCTCCTTTCTCTAACGAAACTAATAATATATAGAAATATTTTGAGAGTAAGAAAAACAACAAGATAGTTTTTGTCACATTTTTGGAAAGTCACGCGCGCCATGATGACTGTGACAGATCGAAATCGCACAAAGCTGCTGGCAAAACCCAGTACCTAAGTAGATAATAATGAATTGATCTATCAGTCGCTTAGTCATTGAATCGGCCAGTTAGAAAACTATGACTAAGGCCCTACTTTTCATATTAAGTTCATTATAATACATACATCAAATAACCTAGACTCTAGGTACGAAACCTGTGCCAAGTGGTTGCCATTTTAGTTTAAAATTAAAATCAATTTCATGTAGATACCGATCTGATCTGTACTTATTTATAAGGATTTTGGACTGAATTTTGTTTTCCTTTCATAAATATTATGTAGAAGAGCTCTTAAGCTACAAATCTGATTCAGAAACCAGTAGTTACAAGTACCTACCTATCTGAGGATAAAAATTCATACATAGTAACTCCTTCAGAGTTCATCCAGCAGTCTCCAGAGTTCCTGCGATGCAATGAGGTCGTTCAAGAGTGCACT